AACGATGATGTTTTTGAGACCCAGTTTTTCAAAATTTTCTGCAACAGAGATTAGGGAGTTCCAGGAATCAACTACTGATTCAAGTGAGGAAGAACTCCGCCTTTGCATAGGAGCCAATAAAGGGGCAGGTGCTGTCTAGAAGAAAGTAAAATATAGCATTCAAAGCACATAAGACATTTGGTCCAACATTAGCTGGAACAGGTTATTTCCAACTCAGAGCAGGAAAACACAGACAGAGGTCCCATTTGTGTGGTAAGCAGAAGACAGCAGTGTTGAGAAGAGGAAATTATTATGAATCCATCAGTGAGGGGGAGAGAGAGGTTAAGTATCTCAGCCTCATAGCTGAAGGAATCTTCCTTTACCTCAGGTTTACCTGCTCCTCCCTTCAAATCAAGTGTGTGACTTGATAAGGCAGCAGGTGCAATTATTACACTCTGTTCCTTGATGAGGAAATTGTAAAAATGTGGAAATCTCTTTCCAGGATCTGGGTTCTTTCCCCACAAAGGCCACTTGACTTAATCCTAGCATTTTGGCAGGAGGAAAATGGTCTCAGAGTCTCTTTGGCTCTATCAAATTGCAAGGAATACAAATGTGTATTCCTGATGATCTTGTTTTCTCTGTTGTTAGCTTAAATTTTAGAGTCACAGCTTAATATAGGAATACTACCAGATGGCACCGTAATCCTTTCTCTTACCTTAGGAAGCTGAGATCATAACTACACCTGCTGGTCCATTCCTAACTGGACTTGCAAGGTGGGTGTTTGAGATGTTGGTCTTGGGTATCTAAAGTGTCAGAAGGTGGAGGAAAAGATTGCAGTGTAATTATGTTTAGAATTAAAAGTGCTCAGTGAAATCTTCAAGTTCCCCACCATCACATCCCCCTTCCCACCAGCCAAAAGGAATTCAAAGGATAGGCTTAGGAAGGTATTTCTGCTTGGACTGCAGAATCTGCAGGTCTGGGTGACAAGTCAGCAATTCTTGTGTCTTAAGTTAATTATCTGTTCTGATCAGCCTTGTTTGTTTTTCACAGTTTAGAAAAGGACAAGAAACAATGGGTGGAAACTAATAAAGGAGAGAAGCAACTTAGAACTAAGGAGAAATTTCCCGACTGTTAGCACACTTAATCAGTGGAACAACTTGCCTCCAGAAAATGCTCCAACACTGGAAGTTTTTATGAAGAGATTGGATAACCATTTGTCTGAAGTGATGCAGGGTTTCCTGCTTAAGCAGGGTGGGGGTGGGGGGTGGACTAGAAGACCTCCAAGGTCCCTTCCAATTCTAAAAATTCTAATTTAAAAGAACAGCAATCAGTTTTTCTCTAACAGAAAGTGACTTGGTGATGACGAATGAATCACAAGAAATGAGAGTTTCCAAACTATCTTAAGAGACATTTGGTATGCAGAATAACATGCAGCTTGCATGTTTGTTGCACATAAATTTCCCCCCTTTCTTGAAAGATTTTACATGCAGATGCATTCAAGTAACCTCCCCCACCGCACACAAAAATTGCTGAGAAATTTGGGAGAAGCCAAACTTTCCAAACTAACCTTGAAAGAGAGATGTTGTTCCAATCTCCATGCAGAGTGGCTTACAATGCTTCCTACCCTTTTCCTAATTCACTAGTTCTTCATGTACTCTACAGTTTATAGATTCAAAAGCATTCTGGAAATATTATAGCTCAAATGACTTGTGCCAACAATATCTTAGAGATATTAACTGGGAGAAGTATTGGTTTGACAAATATTAAGTCTGAATCTATGACTGAGGCAAGGAAGCATCCCTACAAAGCAACCCAAATCAAAAGATATGTGAATGATTTAGCATTTGGAATACTGTCTTTAAAAATAGTAACATTGTTTGAGTATTTGTGCAAAATACCACAATGAAGAAAAGGAAAAGGAGTGGAAGGAAGCTGAAGGCTTATCGGTCAAATTTAGTTCACAGAAAATAATTCCTCTGAAGTTTTTCATTTAAATAGAAGACTATTGAAATGCCTTCTTAGCTCATTCTAAAATGTTAAATGACTTGTATGGACCCTCTCCAAACAGAAAAAAAAAATCTGACATAGAGCAGGATGGGCAATACTTTTTAGCTTAACTTTTAAAATCTAGTAATGAGGCTTTAAAGGCAACATCAGAAGTACAAGATTGACATTTGTAGCCTGTGGTCTGTGGACCTCTTGGGGTGGGGACACATTATCATCAAAGGAAGTCTGTGAAGGCTTGAAGAAATGTTATGATTTAAAACTTGAGTTAACTCTTGACTGTCTGAAGCCACAGAAGATATTTAAAGGGAGTCTGTGCTGAGGAAAAGATTGAGAACCACTGCTATAAGTTAAATTAGTGGTATTATGTTGCTTATTTTTTTAAAAAACAGAGAAAATAATCCTTTCAACAATCACCAATATTTCTATCAACATTTCAGCATGAAATCTTAAATACTGATAATGTGCCTATGTGTAAATGACAAATTCTATAATATGACTTCCCCAGAAAATTTTAGTTAGCTCTGTTCAGGAGAGTCAGACCTGCCACAGTCTGATCCCTTAGAGAAGTAAAACTTTTGACTCAATTGAAGTGAAAAAGCACTTTTACTAAGAGATGCTAATTGCAGGAAGGTCAACTGGAATCTACTCTTTGGGTAGTTTCTATCCATTGTTTCTCACTGTGTCTTTTGGTGCTTTAAAAAAATAGATGGACCCACTCATTTTTGTAGGAGTCCCTCAAATATTGGAACAGTGCTATTTTATTGTGAGTTCAGGAGATTTTTGGCAAAATCGATTAAGTGGAAAAAAAGGACATGATTGAATTTGCTTTTTAAATTCTGTCAGCACTTCTCTAGATAAAAAAAAGAAGAACCATTAAAAAGATCCCCAGTATTGTAGAGCTGGGACAATTTTTATACAGTTAATTTGCAACAACCTCAAAATTTCCAATGGAAAGAGCACATAAAAGAAAAGAAGACTTTCCTACCTTTCTGTAGTTGGCTAGGTTGTGCCAGTTTGATGAAAGGTGGCTGTCTCAGCTCTCTTCTCCCTGAGAACCTCTGCTTTTTGCACCTTTCTGTTTTAATGTAGCTGCTTAGTGATTTCTGCTGCCATTGTTTGTCAGTCACATGGAGGTATATACCTGATGTTTTACCACATAACCCTGGCATATGAGACAGGTAAGAATTTCACAGGCTATGTCATCATTGAAGAATAATGGATAAAAATGAAATAAATGCAGTAGTGTAAGGTATGTGACAAGGCAGTCAGCACCCCTTCTTTAGAAGGATATCATTCTCATAAATGATTGATTGATTTTGTTAGATGTTTATCCTGTCTTTATTACTTTATAAGGAAACCAAGGTGAAGAACTTATCTAATATTCCTTCCTCCTCTTAGTTTCCCCACAACCACAATCTAAAAAATGGTTTGGGCTGGGAGAGAGTGACTGGTTACTCAGCCATTTTTTCAAGCCTAAAATGGGATTTAAACTCAGAGTCTCTTGGTTTATGGGCCAGTACCTTAACCACTTCCTTTAAAAAGGAGGAAAGAATGTTAAAATGTAAGAATTGCATGCAAAAACAGGGTTGGAGGAAACAAACTTGTAACAAGCTGGAAACATCATAGATAACATTTCAGAATAATCTCCCAGAGAATGATGCAAAAGACAAGAGAGGTTGTAGGAAATTAGAATCTGAGATGAACCTGTTAGTAGGAAAGGAGACTAGAATGAGCAGCAATACTTTGCAAGATGCATCAAACCTGAAGTCAAGAGATTTCTTATTTATTTGCACGTGAGCATTCTTTTTATTTGAAAACTACTCGCTCCAGCAAAGTGAGCGGCAGGGCATGACAATGAGTGGGTGGGAGGGGAGGGGCAAGATGTGGCCTGGTGTGGCAAGGAGAGATCAAATGAGATGAGGCATCCCTTGATATGAGTGACATTGAGTTGGCCATGCCCACTCAGTCACATGACCACCCAGCCATGCCTACCCAGCCGGTCATTAGGGCAGAGAACCAGTTGTTAAATTATTTGAATCCCACCACTGGATGCACCCGTGAAGATACAGGTGTTGTAAACCTCATCGGTTAGTCTGTCTTTGAAACAGCCAATTAGGAAGTCTTTTGGCCAGTTGTTCAGCTGGCAGGCCAAGTCACTGAACTCTTTGGTGTACTTGTGTTAGATCTCGAAAAGGAGGGAGGCCACACCAGAGCATTTCTCAAAACACGCTTTATTCGGAAATAAAGGGGGCTGTCGTGTCTGCATTGCTAACAGCAGACCTACCAGCGAACAGCGGTTGGCTCAACCTAGCAGCCGGCTTTTATAGCCGGCTGTCGAAGGGAGCCAACCAATGGGGGGTGTAAACGCCCCTGCAGGAAGAGCGGACCTGATGGAGAACTGGTGTCAGCCCCGAGGACATAACACCCCTTCCCCCCAGATATGAACATGAACAGTCTTGTAGGTATGCGGGCGGTTTGTGCGATCGCCCTGATCGGCGCAGTTCGGGTGAGGCCCCAGGTGGTACAGAGTTCGGGGCAGCGGAAGCTGGATTTGTTGGGAGCTGGTCGGCCACCTGTGCATGGTCGCAGACCTCGGGCTGGCTTGCTGAGTTGTCGCAGCCACTTAGTGCGGTGGGGTAGTCGGTCGGAAGGGCCGATGACTCTGGTGGACAGTTCCGGTCTATTGTCTGTTCCCTTGACTCGGCTGGAGGGGATTGGTCGCCCTGGATGTCCCAGTCAGGAGTTGCGCGTGGTGCTTGGAGTGTCACCGCAGCCTCTGGGTCGGTGCTGGCGAGCTCGGCTGGATGGCTCCTTATTTGGTCTAGGTGTCTCCACCAGATGCGCCCGTCTTCCAACTGGATGCGTTACGATCGGGGGCCTGTGATGGCCATGATCTTTCCGGGTATCCACAGTGGGTCGCCTGCGTAATTCCTGGCGAAAACTCGGTCCTGTAATACAAAACTCCTGACCCTACTGTTAGACCCAATTGGCGTATCTGGGCAATAGTGAGGGTGCAGTCTATCTAGTACTGTCCTTAAGCGTCTGCCCATTAGTAACTCGGCTGGAGATTTGTTGGTGACCGTGCAAGGGGTCGAATGTTGGCTCATAAGGAATCAAGAGAGCCTGGAGTGCCAGTCGTCTTGGGTGAACCTGGCTAGTGCCTCTTTGGCAGTTCTGACAGCTCTCTCAGCCAGTCCATTGCTCGAGGGATGAAAAGGGGCCGTTAGAATGTGCCGGATGCCCAGGTTGGTGACATACCGGCTGAATTCCGTGGAAGTAAATTGAGGGCCATTGTCTGAGACTATAGTGTCCGGCAGACCGTGTGTGACAAACAGATGGGTTAGAGCTTGGGCAATTGCTCGAGTGGTGGTTGTGAGTAGAAGGGCCACATCGATCCATTTAGAGAATGAATCTACAACTACTAGGAAGGTCTTGCCTTGAAATGGGCCGGCCAAGTCAATATGCAGCCGCGACCATGGTGCGTTGGCGCTTTCCCATTTGGTGGGAGTGGTGATTGGAGGTGCAGGCCTGGACTCTTGACAGGGGCGGCAGGAGCTTACCCATTTCACGATTTCGTCGTCCATGCTCGGCCACCAGACGTAACTCCGGGCCAATGCCTTCATTCGGACGATGCCGGGGTGCCCCTCATGCAATGCCTTCAGGACGGGTCTGCGCAGAGATTCCGGGATGACAACTCTGGTCCCCCAAAGCAGGCAGCCCTGTAAACTGGAAAGTTCCTGTTGGCGGACTTTAAATGGTGAAAAATCGTTAGATGGATTACTACCCGGCCACCCCCTCCGTACCCAGTCCAGGACCTGGGTGATAAGTGTGTCTTTTCTGGACTGAAAAGCAATGTCTCTCGCAGTGACTGGAATGCTGAACTCACTGGTGTCGAAAATGGTGTGTACTGGGGCCGGATCCTCCACGGGTGTTGGCAGCGGGCATTGGCTGAGGGCGTCAGCATGGCTGAGGTTTTTTCCTGGGCGGTGAACTAATTTGTATGAATAAGCCGCCAGGAATAAGGTCCACCTTGTCATCCTGGGTGACAAGACTTGCGGCGTTTGTTTCTCCCCGGAGAGAAGTCCCAACAGTGGTTTGTGATCTGTAACTAGTTCGAAGTTGTGCCCGAATAAAAATTCATGGAATTTTTTTACCGCGGCTACGGCAGCGAGGGCCTCTTTGTCAATTTGACTATAATTACGTTCTGTAGTTGAAAATGTTCGAGAAAAGAATGCGATTGGAGCTTCGGATCCGTTGGGAAGCCTGTGACTTAGTACGGCCCCAATCCCGAAGGGTGAGGCGTCAGCAGCTAAAACCAGTGGCAGGTGCTGGTTGAATTGAATCAGCACCGCGTCTGAAGTAAGTAGTGACTTGACTGCCCTAAAAGCGTATTCCTCTTTGGGTCCCCAATGCCATGGTGTATTTTTGTCTAAAAGTCTATGCAGTGGTTTGGCCACTGAAGCTTTGTGAGGCAGGAATGATGCATAGAAGTTCAGCAGGCCTAGGAAGGCTTGTAGCTCTGGTTTGGAAGAGGGAGTGGGTGCCTCGTGAATGGCTTTGACCTTAGATTCCACCGGGTGAATGCCAGAGGCATCTATTCGGTACCCAAGAAAGTCCACCTGTTTAGTGGCTATGGCGCATTTTTCTTTTTTTAGTTTGAGGCCATGCTGTCTGAACCTATCCAATACCCCTCTTACTCTGAGAAAAAGTTGGGCTCTGTCCCGGGCTGAAACCAAGATGTCATCAAAGTACGGAACCACACCAGGAAGGCCCTGCAGGATCCGTTCCATTAATGACTGGAATATGCCCGGGGCGACGCTGACGCCAAATTGGAGGCGCTTGCATCGGAAGGCCCCCCTGTGGGTAACAATGGTTTGTAATTCGGCCGTTTGGTTGTCCACAGGAAACTGCTGGTATGCCTGTGACATATCCAATTTGGCGAATATAGTTCCTGGTTCAAATGTGTGAAGTAAATGTTGGATTACTGGCACTGGGTATGCGCTAGTCTGCAGATAGCGGTTTATTGTGGTCTTGTAGTCTGAACACATTCTTATACTACCATCCTTTTTTAGGGGTGTGACAATTGGTGTCTCCCATCTAGCAAAATCTGTGGGTTCAATTACCCCCTGCTTGAGTAATTTGTCTAGTTCCGCATCTAGCTTAGATCGCAGAGCAAATGGTACTCTTCGCGGCTTTAAGCGGATGGGAACTGCTTGGGGGTCTACCGAGAAGGATATAGGTGTGCCTTTGTAACAGCCCAATTCATCACTGAATACGTCAGCGTAATCTGAAAAGAGTGAGTCGGTATCGGAGGATGAGACAGCATGTACTCCCGTTAAGCTAAGGCCGAGAAAGGGGAACCAATCCAACCCCAGAAGACTAGGAAGGGCACCATCAACTACCACTAATGGCAGGTGGCCTTTAAAGGATTTGAATTTGACGAGGAACTTCCCTGTTCCGAGCACCGGAATATTCTTCCCTTGATAGTCCCTCAAGGATAGGCGACTCTTCTGCAGTTGCTTCCTGGACAGGCTGGGATGTATTTTCTTAAATGTGCTCCACGAAATAATCGAGAGTGCTGACCCGGTATCGACCTCCATAAGGCAGGGTTTACCTTCTAAATGAATGGAAAGTTGTATTTTATTAGGTGTCAAAAAAGTATGGTTAGCTTGATAGCATGTATAACAATTTTCTACTTGCCTGGGTGGCCCCGGAGGGGCGTAGGATGATGTCTTTTGTGGAGTCACGTGTGTTGCCTGGCACACCCTGGCGATGTGCCCTTTCTTGTTGCAATTGTTGCAGGTGGCGTTTCTGAACCTGCACATCGCTCTGGCATGGGGACCACCGCATGAGAGACAAAGCTGGGTGTGCCTAGGCGTGTTGCCGTCTCTAGGTCTAGCTCCTACCTGTGGTTGCTTGAATGGTTTAAGGCGGTGGACTTCTGAATGTTCAATAGGCTCTTCCTCGTTCACTGCTTCCTCGGAATGCACAGTGACTGGACTGGTTTTGGGTGCGCCTCCCTGTATTTCAGCGGCTGACTGTATGGCTAGCTCAGCGGCCAGGGCTTCTTCGATTGCTTGGGCTAGGTTAAGGTCCTTTCTGGCCAATAAGCGCCTCTGTAGCCTCGTGTCTCTGACCCCACAGACAAGTTGATCCAGGAGCATGTCATCGAGGTAGTTTTTAAATTCACAATGAAGGGCTGCGGTTCTGAGGGCAGCCATATACTGATTTATGGTTTCTCCATCCGCTTGTTTCCTCATGCGAAAGGCAAAGCGTCTCGCGATCTGCGACGGCTTTGGCGAATAATGATTGGAGAGTATCTCCAGCAGCTCAGACCACGGAACATTCTTTAACTCCCTCGGGGCGCATAGTGCTGTTGCGGTGTCGAACACTGTGGCCCCGCAGTAACTCAGGAAAAATGATTTCTTCTTATTGTCTGTAGCATCGGCCAGCCCAACAGCATCAATGTAATGATTGAAACGGTTCCTGTAAGAGTCCCACTTGTCTTCGTCTGGCTTAAATGGCGGGAACGCCGGATTTGAATTCATGTTTGGTTTCAACCTGTGGCAGGTTGATCAATCTCACTGGGAATACAGGCCCTGGATGTGGTAGCAGCTGCAGCTCGCAGCGCTATTTCAGCTCAGTGTCTCAGCTCTTGGAATCTCTCTGGGTTTGTGTGGGTAGCAGCTGCAGTTCGCAGTGCTATTTCAGCTTAGTGCTTCAGCTCTTAGAATCTCTCTGGGTTTCCACGCTCTATATTGCCCTTGGCGGCTAGGCTGTAGCGCCGTAACTGACGTCTGTTTGAATTTCGCGCCCTTACAAGGGCGTAGGCGGCTATGGCTGTAGCTTCGTGCCGACAGCGATTTAAATTGCGCGCCAACTTTCAGCGATTGTGAACGCAGCGCCGAGGCTCGGCTAAGCAGAATCCGGCAATTTCGGCTGGATTCAATGCCGGGCGGCTGAGGCTCTCAGCGCCCTACTTCCCTGTAGCTATTTGTGCACTTGAGCGGCTACACGCTCCACTTCGCTCTGTATCTGTAACGGCTGACCGAGCTCTCAGCGGCGCGGCTACGGCTCAGCGTTCAGGTGTGTGACTTCAGCTCTTGTATTGCTGCTGGTTGGCCGGATCCCACCCTCGTCGCCAATGTTAGATCTCGAAAAGGAGGGAGGCCACACCAGAGCATTTCTCAAAACACGCTTTATTCGGAAATAAAGGGGGCTGTCGCATCTGCATTGCTAACAGCAGACCTACCAGCGAACAGCGGTTGGCTCAACCTAGCAGCCGGCTTTTATAGCTGGCTGTCGAAGGGAGCCAACCAATGGGGGGTGTAAACGCCCCCGCAGGAAGAGCGGACCTGATGGAGAACTGGTGTCAGCCCCGAGGACATAACAACTTGGCTATACTTCTTCAGGCCTGACTGATGGTCTTGATACAGTCTCTAGCCTTTTGGTAAGTGAGAGGGTCCTCAAAGCACTTATGAGAGTCATGAAATGAATTTTCTCAACTGATGTGTCATCATTGTGAAGGATGACTATTCACTTCACTACTGCTCCTTCCAGGGCCATGATGATCACATCTTAACTTGCCACTTTCTGTGGCTATTTTGGGGCTGTATTCCTGCATGTAGGTCCAGACTCGGACCAGAAAGAACCTTCATTGCCAGGGATCTACATCAAGTTCATGCCCAGCAGTGGAGTCTTGCAGCTCCTCCTCACCTATGTGATTCTCACAGGAGCCCTGCACTGGGCCAACCCTCCAGGTGTTTGGGCTGCTGCAGCCACTGCAGCCACAGGTCCACCCACCAGTGTTCCTGCTACAGTAGATACGGTTGCCCCATTGGTTGCTGAGGCTGGGTGTGGTTGCTAGTCTGGTTGGGAAGCTTGGGTAAGGGCTTTGTGTGCCTTGAGGTTTTTGAAGGCACCCTGCATAAATTTGATGGCTTGCTCCATCATCCAGGTGATTTGGCCATGTTCTCCATCCATCTTTTCCTCCTCCTCTTCCAGTCCTCCTCTTCCAGTCTCAGGGAGGACACCACTGCCAGCTCAGACATGGAGGCCTTAAGGCATAGTGGCATCCCAACCTGACAGTGCAGTGGGGGAACAGTGGGCATGGTAAGGTGCCATGAAGCCCATCACCCTCCCTTTGAGGTATGACAGAGTGCTGCCTTGTCCTTGGGAAGGTGTGCCTGGCGGGGAGGAATGGCCCGGTTTCCAACAGACCTAAAGGTTGCTGGGGTAAGGCAATAAAAAACACCCAGAAGTCCAGAAGTCTCCATTCCAATCACTTTTTCTCTCAGGTTTCAACGCAAGCGGGTTATCTTTCCTGTAATTCATGATAGTCAGTAGCTGAGCTATTGCATTTTCATTGCCAATAGTATCTATGCTAATAAATATTGCCCTGAAGAATAAAGTCTACATTTCTATTACCTGTCATAAACTTTTATGCATAAATCAATATTAATAGCCTGGAATTGCAGAGATATGGTAGATCTTAAAAGATAATTTATCTGGCACTTAATCTTTGACATGTTCTCACATTGGAGAAATATTGCAAAGCAATTGGCAATGACAGACTGCCTTTCTTTCATGGGTGGCATTGGGGAAAGCGGGTGCTTAAACAGTAGCCCTTGTTGAAATAAAAATAATGTTCAGGTTCAATAGTTGGCAAATGTGGCTGATGCAAATTTTTTGAGGTGCGGGAAATGTAGGCTCTTCCCTCGTGATAACGGAAACATATCTTCATTTCTGTCCCTTTCAACCTTGAAGTAGCTCAAGGAATGGAAAAGGAACTGAGACATTTTCCATGCCTCTTAAAACAGAGGAAGGCGGTGGAGGGAGATTTTTAATCTAATCTGTCAGCTTTAATAAGCATTCCATGTGTGTAGAGAAAAAAAGATAACAAGGAAAGGGAGTTTCTGAAGAGCCCTTGACTAAACAAAAGGCAAATTTTCTTGCATGTTGTAGGGAAAAAGTTCCTGTCAACTATTAACCATAAACACAATTAGAACAGCATGGATATGGCACAACAAAGTTTGGGACAATGATCTTGTGGTCCAGCTTTCCAACTGCATTATTATAATTATTACTATTGCTGTTGTGATCCTTACTAGATTTAAAATTTACCTTTATATCCATAATATACCTTTAATTTCAGTTAGGATTTTATTTATATTTATTTAAAAGACATTCTCTACATGGCCATTTTAGGAGTGACAACCTTTGGCAGTTTGTAATATAAAGTAACATTAAAAAAACAAACCCCAAATCCAGCAACCACAAAAACTGTTTTCCAATATAAAGATATTTTTTTTTAGGGAACGAAAATGAGGAGGGTGAAGTCAACACAGTAATCCTTGCTGGCCAGAAATTGAGCAGAGTTTGGCTGGGAACTTCCTTTTTTAAAAAATAATAATCTAAGTCTTACATAATAAAATGTTCATTTTCCTTCAGTCTTGGTTACTTAATAGAAGAGTTTGCTAGAGCCCTTGACTTCTTTCAATAAGACAATCAGAAAATTTGTACAATTACAAAGTTGGTCATCTGAAAACTCTCTTAATGTGCTTTTATTTATATTTAGTATGTTATATGAGGCCAGTTGCTTTGCAGAACAAGCCTTGCAGACCAACTCCATGAAAGCAAAAATTCAGCATGTCAGCAACAACAGCAAATGTTGCTTAGGCAATGAGAAAGATGAAACAGTAGATCATCTTATCAGTAGCTGCAGCCTACAATGTCATGATTGAGTTGCCAAAAACATACATTTTGCCAGAAGTTTAGGTTCGAATACAGCAAAAATTATTGGGAATACCAAATTGACAAAGTTCTTGAAAATAAACAGGTCAAGATCTTGTAGGACTTTCACAAAGAAAAAAGTCTGGTCCATTGATATTACAATACCAGGTGATACAGGAATTGAAGACAATTAGAAAAATAATGAAATACCGCTATCTGCAAATTGAAATTGAGCAATTAAGAAATCAGTGGCTGTAATAGGACCCCTTGGAGCAATACTCAAAGGGCTGCCTTCATACATTGGAAATTTTCAATCTATTAGACCTTAATAACCTGACTTTGCAAAAAACAACTTTATTCAGAACTGCCCACATATTCAGATGTCACCTTAACAACACTTAGGTCCTTGGTTAGAACTTGAATTGTTAAGTTTTTACCAGCTTCAGAGTGTGAATCAAATTGAAGATCAAATCAATAACAACAACAATAATAATAAGTCACCTTCATCCTCTGAGTTGTCTCTGGAATGCACTCTCACCCTTTTGGGAATCTAAACTACATTCCATCGCACCATCATAACTTTGAATGGTTGTTAAAGATCTAGTTATAAGTCAAGGACTAGCTATAAAATTATGCTCACGAAATCCAATGCATCTGTTCAATATTTTTAATCAACTTTCCTATAACTTTTCTATAACTTGGCTTAACACCCTTCATTTATGGCTTGGAGTCGTACACATCTAGTATTATCAGATATCACAATCAGAAGTAATAAGATAAAGATTATTCATTGTCAAGTTAGCTGCAGCTTCTTTTCATCCCATTGTCTTATGACAAATGCTTTTGCTCCAAGGTTTGCTCTTTGATTCACTAAAATTTTTCCTCCAAATGCACATGGTGCTTCATCTGGCATGATTTTTCTCAAAGTAATTTACCTAGCTATTATTTGGGGGATTCATCCCACTCTTGAGAATACCATGGATAACTAAGAAAACAAGCTGATGGATCATCAAAGAAATCAACCCAGAGTTTTCACTTGAGGCACAAAAATTGATATCTATTATCAATTTGGATGTATTATCCAGCGACCCCCAACTCTCAGCAGAACTGTCTAATGCTGGGAAGAGTGTAAGAAAGGAGAAGAAAAAGATGACCAGCGGGAAGGGGGATGAGTATACAGTTGGAGATTTGAAAGAAAAGTTTAGGGATAGATTGTCATGGAGAAAATCTTTGTGATCACTGGGAGTTGAAAATTATTCGATGGCACATAATCAATCAATCAATTAAATGAACAAACAATTGTATCTCACAAAAGAAAATATGCAATATTTGCCAGTGATAATTAATTTGCTAATAATTGTTATTTCATTTTTGTCTGTCAGAGTGACATCTTCCTGGCACTTCCTGAATGAGAGCTACGATGTTCAGAAGG